CTAAGGGAGTTGGTCCCTGATGTCAGGCCCTGGAGGAGTGGGGAGGAGCTAAGGGAGTTGGTCCCGGACACCAGGCAAAGGCGGGCAGTTAAGCGCCAACAGCAACTACGCAGATACAGAAGATAATTGGACCCAGGTGGTTGTAATTAGGCTCCTCCCAAGAGAGTATATAAGAAGAGACTTTGGGAGAAGGCTGTTTGCAGAATTCAACTAATACACCAACGCTGGAGAAGCTCTCGTGTGTATTTCTTATCTTGGAAGTCTGGATTTCTGCCAAAGTCTTGTCGGTGTGTTAATTTACTGTGAATAAATTGTGTAGCAGTAATCCTGTGTCGGAGTGCCTTGGCGTATGGGGGGGGGGGTCCAGAACAAGTATGTATGAATGAATTTGATGGGTTATCATAACAGGTTAGAAAACGTTTTAATATGAATTTTAAAGTTTAAATACAATCCTGTGCTCTGTACAACCAAAACACAAAAGTCAACTAAAAAAAATAAGATGACAAGCACAAGCAAGAATAAATGATTGCTAAGAGACCAAAGACAAACATACTATAAAAGAACCTCAGGGAAAAAAATGTTACTGACATAAATAGGAAAGTTATGTACTTCATAACATGATAGCCAGAGTGTCAAGGGAGTAAAAAGCTGGGATATTAGCACAACAGAAGACAAACAAAAATAACATTTATACTCAGCAATTCCTTCTGGAGAGAATGATGTTTAAAAGAAATATTCTGGTTTTATAAAACAACCAGATGGTTTGAGGAAAGAATTTAAGTCAGGGTGGCTGGATTTAGCTAATTTAGTTGTCCCAAATCTTGACCTGAGCCAGCCAGGTGAAGATCCAAATAACTATATACTAGCTAACTATATAAACTAGCAAGACCTCAGCTAACATTCTGAATATACGTATAGGACTAAGAAAGGTAAGGTCTTTGCACTTCAAATGAAAACATTAAAAAAAAAATCTTATGTGGCGTAAGATCCCTCAGGTCATTTATAAAAAAGTCTTTGAATTCCAAATTTTAAATTTAGATTTGCTATTCATTCAAGGAATCTGATATTGAAATGTTTCTTTTTCAAAATAAAAATCAAGACATAATTCACACAAAATGACAAGCTGGAGAAATCCGAACTTCAGAATAAACTAAAAGCATAAGGAGGTGAACAGAAATTCCTTTATTTTTAAAGAGCACAAAAGACAAATGAAATACAAAGATGGGAGAGGAAGTTTTGGGGGTCAGGGGACGGGAGAGGCTATCATTCATCCAAGACAGTTCTGCATCTAGTTTTTTTGTTTCCATTGGTTCTACCTGAATAATGTGGCATGCAATTGGAGACATGGGAAGGAAGTGACAAATTCTCTCCTCTTTGTTGCATATCACTGAAATAGTAGCACATCACATTATAGTAGTTGTTATGACACAAGAGGCTATGTTTCTAGTTCCAAGATATGTACATAAAGACAGATTAGTTAGAAAAGGTCTTCATAACAGGACAAAGATTTGTTGTTCGTGTCCTGTACTGAAAAGGGCTGTATAATCCTACACTTGTGAAGAAGGGGATGGAGCAAGTTTTCCCCACAAAAGATAAGACAGGCCCTAAAAAAAACTTCCATTACAATGATATTCTTTGTTTACTTCATTAACTACAGATCAATCTTCTTTTCCTGAGCTATTACGGGACACAATTTTTGCTATAATCAATCTATTCTGTCACATTGTGTACTACTCAGCGTAGAGGATGAAGCCCTACCTTTTTATCTATTTGACAATCAAGGCAGCTTACAACAGAAAAATGTAAACAAAGAACCATTCATACAATTCAAGGCCAAATAAGAACCAAGCATTCAAGTACATTCATTAGGAATAAAAAGCTTAGAAGCAGGGATGTGTTTTTAACAACTTGTAGAACATATGGAAAATGGGGGCCAAATGCCCTCTCTAGGGCAGGGGTGGGCAACTATGCTCAGAAATTCTGGGAGTTGAAGTTCAAAGGTCATAAAGGTGGCATAATTGCCCATGCCTGTTCTGAGGAGTGCATTCCACCTCTTGGGAGCTATACCTCCTTTCCCAAATACCAGAGAGTTGAAACTGGCAGGTGGGGGTCCTTCAGAAGGGACTTCCCTGGATCAAGGGGGATTAACCAAGCAACTTTAGGAGATTCCACAGATAGTCAGAACTTAAGCCATTCAGCGGCAAAGCAAATAAATCTTTATTGTTGTGATCCAAGACCAGTTTTCATACTGGTCCAAAGACTGAATTAAGACTGCAATAGGACAGGACCAGCACAGAGTGCACTAGAAGCAGAACTGCTAAAAATAAAAATATAAAAGTATATAGAACAGGAAAAGTACAGAACAATTAAAAATAGTTTGAGCTTAAAATCCCGAGCCATGAAATATCTAAAATTAGCCCTGAATCCAGGGAAGGGTGGTCACTAATAAACATGAAGAGAAGTCTAATTTAAAAATAGAGATTAACATTTAGAAGTTAAAAATTGGAGTCAAAAATTTTGGGGGTAAGAAGAGCTGTTTCAAATCATCTGGTTGCATCATTCCAGACCTCAGCTTTTGCTATGTCCCTTTGACAATCCAGAGATCAGTTTAGAATCCAAGTAATGACATGGAGGTATCATAGGCTGGGTTTTGGCCATAACAGATAAAACCCCATTTTTACTCCAACAAAATAAAATTCTGCTCCAAGAAACTTGGACTACAGAGCATATTACATTTGATGTTTACCTAGTAGGCCACCAGCAACTGAAGACAAGCATTACATGCCTAGAAAAACACTGAAATATGCCCCAGCTTCAATCTTGCAAGAAGGCTAGCTATTCAGTCTTGTGAATCACATTCATTGAAAGAGGGGGGGGAGGGGAATTGCCTTATAGAATCTCAGAAACGGGATGTGCACACTTTAGCATGCCATTTCTCAATAAATTCATTAGAGTGCGGATTCTTGCTGACTGCTTCCTGAAACTAATATCCTCAATATAGAAGGAATACACAACTTTTCTGGCCCTATACATTTCCTAAATTTCTGCCACTTTCTTTGCCAACTGAGAGGTCCATTACAAACAAACCAGGGTAAATTTACACATGCTTTAGTGCAAAAATATCACAGCAAATATAGCCTGCAGCAATTGTGACCCATCCAAGTCTCCCATGCCAGACAGGGTCAGACATTCAATGAATCAACGTTCAGTCTGACTGCATGTAAAAAGCACTCTTTAATATAAAAAGAGCACTCAACTCCCTGCTTTTCTGCTGGAGAGAAAAAAGGGTTTTGTTCATTTAACTTCAAGCCACAATTTGGGTATAGACGCTTTGGGCGGAGAGCAAGAAAGATGGATCACTTCTCTTCTAAAACTCAGAATTATGCTTCTTATTTACCCTAGTCTGAAAAAAATCCAGAAAAAGAAGCAAAGCCAGCAGGAACTGTTTGCTGCAATGATCCTTTGTTTCTAAAGCACTGATAAACATTTAGCAATGAATTAGCAATTAGATCTTTTGATTCACTTTGAAGTGTGCACAGTACTTAAAATCATTATTGTCTCTACATTATTTTTTTTTGCCTCTAATGTTTATTCTATAAGCATGCTCAAGACTTTTCTATCCAATGTAGGCTTTCCTCTAAATTAGAAGCATATCAATATTACCTACTCAGAACCTTTTTAAATTATAAATATTTATATTTCTTTATCTTTTTCTTTTGAAGATCCTACACTGCCTGTACTTTAGAGTAGCGCTATATTTTACTATTTTCCTGCAGAAAGTTTTACATATGACTACTTAAAGTTAAAATAGCCTTCTTGTATTTTCTTTCTTCTTTTTAATCTGATATTAATTTAAATTTAAGTCTGACAGAAATAGTGAGATAAAAACAATATCTGCTTCAAATGATTAATATGTGGGTACTATGATATTAGTAAGAGTTCAGTTTTCAATGGCTACATAGAAGTAAGTCTGACTGAATTCATCATTGCCTATTTAAAGATAAATGATGATAGGACTGGCGAGTAGATACTTCAGTCTCAGTAATAGAACTTTAAAATTTCATTTGTATATTTTTTGGGTCAATTATGTTTTGACGGCATTAATGTTTGCTAAAATACTTTATCTTTAAGAGATTGCCAGTCTGCATTAGTTTAGCAGAATTTTCCATATCTGCTTCCTCAACATTTCTATCATAGTATTAGAGAAATATCTGAATCCATGAGTTAAGGATGTGAAGACACCTAAATTGGATCTCATTCAATCCTGCTCAGAATTTGACCTCCTTCTCAAATATAAGAAGCTTTTTAGATACTAGCAAAACAACTGAAAAGGCAGCTTTTCTTTTCTTTTAATATTCCTGTGGTCTCCCCCCCCCCCCGCCAGATATTCAAAGCAATGATTTAACAGAATGGCAGAAAACCAATTTCTCTCCTGTCAGCCCATTAAGCAGGTGATTGGAATTTATAGTGTATAGTACAATAAAGGATTTAACCAATAGTTTGATAAACATGGTCTTCAGCAAACATTCAACAAATATCTAGGAGTAACGTTGGAATTAAAGCAAATATGTACTGTGGTTTTTTTTTATAGCTTTACTTAAATGATAGGTCAATGGCGAACATGAAGTTTGGCACAAGATTAATGTTCTTTTACAAAGAAAAAAATCCTTTTACAGGAATAAATAAATAGACTTTCTTCTACAATGCTGGAACGCAACAAAGACAAAATAAGGAAAGGAAGGAGAAACAGAGTATAGTGGAAAAATATATCTACCTTACTGGATCTTAATGTAATCAATTGAAACTTACTATGTTTACTTAGGTGCAGCTTTGCTAAGTTTAACTGGAATAAATTCCAGGGATCTTCGGTAAAAATACAGTTATTGTTTATATACACCTCATCTGTAACTTTCTGATTTAATTCCTAATTTAAAAAAAAATATCAGAAAAGCTTTTTAGGTTTTATCTGTTTCCCTAAACTGGTTCCAGTGTCCTTTCCTCAAATTGGCTGGAACCCAATTTGATAATCATCACTTGCAAAAGTGCCACAAATGTTCGGAATCCAAAACCATAAAACAATACAAAGAATTTTAAAAATTAATATTCCATTGAAACCAGAACTCTTCTTGTTTNAGGTAATTTGATAGCAAGTCCTGACTATTTGCATCCTAGCTGTGTTCCCCACTATTCCTTCCATCTTTTCTAAAAAGGAAAACCATACCATAAGGAAAAACAGAACGGCTGCACAAAATCTTACAGAGAAAGAAGTATAACAGCTCTACTGTTAGGAGCTCCATCACTGGAAGTTTTTAAGAAGAGGCTGGACAATCACTTGCCTGAGATGGTATAGGTTCTCTTGCTTGAGCAGGGGGCTGGAGTAGAAGACCTCCAAGGTCCCTTCCAGATCTATTCTATTCTATTCTATTCTATTCTATTCTATTTTCCATTCCATTCCATCATATGTATCTTTAGACAGCACTTTCTGTTGTCAGTTGAATCCCCCACTCATACTTGCTGAATTCTGTCCATCTGAAAAGGAACTGTAAGATTTTTTCTAGGAGGTTGGAAACTTTAATTTTGGTGTCCTCATTCCCTTTCTAAAGCAAAGCCAAGAAACCAAGTTGGTTAATAAGTTTGGGCCATGTTTGCAACTGGAGAAGTGATAAAAGACATAGCAGCGTTTTCACTTTAATTCCCTCATTGCTGCAAAGGACCTGTTATTCCCACTGAGGCTTTGCAATGGAGGAGGACATGCTAAAATGGCACTTCAATTGGTTTAGCATTAGAGACAGCTGGATCTTTACTCTGGTAATAACATGGGCATTTTGATAGCCCTTGGAAGAATGATTACTGCTAGGCTTCCAGGTAGGAAATGCTCTAGTACAGTGCTTCTCAAATTTGGCAACTTTAAATTCTGTGGACTTCAAATCCCAGCATTCCCCAGCCAGCATGCAACATTTTTTTTTGCTAAGAATGAAAAAGATCTTGGTTTAGAATTATAGAAATAATGTCTGTATTGATATGTATCCGTACTAATCAAGAGAAATCTACTTATGAGAACTTGGTGTACTGCCAATCATATTTTATTTGAATAGAGTTCGGGATGAAAGCTCACTTCATGCTGCATAAACATGATAAGGAGAGACATATATTCTGGTTACTGAAAGATCAAAGGCATCACTCCTGTGGAAATGCCTACAATAATCTTTCTGCTTATTTCCAAAAGGAATCACCAGAATTTAAGTCATATATACAGTTCCAACTCCAGCCTTCTGAAAGCTCAAATACCTTAAATGTGGCACAGATGAAGATTTGGTTATTTTAGACAAAGGTGCATTTAAATGTATAATCACAGCCTTTTATAGGAAGCCCAGAGCAAACATGCAGTCAGAATGAGCACGCAACAGGGAAGCAGAATTCCCCCATGCAGGCCCTCTGTTCTTCCATCCACTGAATGAATCAAGGCTACACCAGCAGCAGGGAATATGGCTTCTGGTCTGTTGGAACCAGCAGAGCCTCTACTTCCAGCCTAATACTTGCCTTTGTCTCCCCATCAAGACCAATTTACAAAGGCATCAACATAAGTTTTTTTTTATTTTTAATTTTAAAAAGCTTCACTGGTGCACTGAGAAGCATTCCTAAATAATGGGAACATAGGTAGCATGGGGAAAAACCTAGCTTTTCCCTTTTTAAAGAATTGATTTCAATCAGCTATCTCTCACACACATACACCATGAGTAAAATTAATTTCCCATGAGGGGAAAATTAAGCAAATGGAAGGATTTCCCAAGCTGTTTACCACTGCCTTCTTCTGTTGCTTGCTCACTTGTTAAAGTGATAGGGCTGCATTATTAGTGTTAACTTTGAAGAAATTATTATTTCTTATTTTATTAGATTTATTAGCTGTTTATCTCCCTCCTGTGACTTATTCCTCTTGTGATCATAGTTGTGCAAGGAGTTTGCCCATTGACCCACTGTTACCCATCGCTAAGTAGTTTTCAACTCACCTGGACATGGTATTGAGATGTTTCGTGCATGATGACATTTGAGTTGGAGTATTTCTTCCTTTGCTCTGTGGGAGAAAAACAATGTAGGATAAGAATCACTCTAAGACTTGGCTAGCTTTTTTCCAAAAATATATTCCTTATTTTTTTTTTCCTTTCAGGATAGCTTATTTATTATTGATAGTTTTATTTAATTGGTTTTACACACCATCCTATTGAAATAACAGCAACATTCTAGCATGCATGGGTATTATTTAGTTAAGTAAGTCCAAAATAAATATTTTCTCGGCAAACAGACCAACTTTTTCATTATTCAGAGAGAAGAGAGGCCATCACTCAGTGTCAAAGACAGTCTTTCCTCCTGATACAGTTTCCCCATACTTAGGGCTCACTAGATATAGTTAGGATGTAACTTCCACATCCTCTCCTTCAACAGATAACCATCACACTTAGATAGCAGACATTCAGTACAGGAATATTGGTTGGGGAATTCTAAGAATTGAACATCAAAGATCTAATGAATTTTAGGTTATGAGGTTTTTGGAGATGAAATGAGAGGAGAGGAACCCACATATCTGGAAGGCAAACTGAGCTTTGATTTCAGGTCAAAAAGATTCTACTGGCCAATGCTGCATATAAAAAAAAAGGTCAACCATCCACAACTGTTCATTTATTTATTGTTTAGAAACTGCCATTCAACCATAAGAAATCCCAGAACATTATACACAATGTAAAAACCATTTGAATATTATATACAATAAAATTACAAATTATATAGCATTAAACACATTTCCCATCAATTAATCAACCAACCAATCAGTTATTTTTTTTAAAAAATGTTTTTCATACCTGGAGAAAAAGAAACATTGTTATTTGGTGTCATATAAAAGCAAAGTTATTGCTCATCCCATCTTAGAAAGGGCATTTAAAAGTCAGGACAACATCACAAAGATCTATTATGGAATTGCATTATGTAAGTACTTGTCACTGATGCTTCTGGGAATAGGGCTTTCTTTGAAAAACAAGTAGGATTAGATGACAGGCATTTTTTCTAATATTTCAGCTTCAGACCATTTTAGGACTTTACAGGATGAATTAGGAAGATTCTATTAATGTAGCTTTATATTAAGAGTAGAATTAGTTCATCTGATCAAGTTTCTGGTCTGGTCTACTTGGGAAGGCTGACATCAATCCTGCAAATCTGCCATCTCTTTTATAACCTGAGAAGTTAAGGAGGCTCCTTTCAGAGTCTTTACTCATTATGCAACTATGTGCTATGCCCTTTCTTATCTGATTGTACCCTAGGCAGTATCTCTCTCCTACACACACACACACACACACACACACACACACACACACCACTGCACTACACCCAAGGTCATTCCCACATACCATTATAATTCTTCACTTCCGGTGATATGAAAATTAAACTTCTATTGATGCAATCACTTTTTTTTTGTGGTCACATTTTTAAAAAGAGAATGGACAACCATTTCTGTGAAAGTGTTTTATAAAGTCTCCTGCTTGAGCAGGGGATTGGACTAGAGAACCTCCAAGGTCTCTTCCAACTCTGTTATTCTGTTACTCTACTGACTCATTCTCAGTTTTTAATCACTACCATTCCAAAATCTTTTTTGATTTCTACAACTAACCTATCAGATATATAACTCTGTAATTTATATTTGTTTTGTCATTAAAGAACTTTGCATTTGCCTCTGTAAGGTGTCATACCATGACTTTTGCAGAAAAGACACTTGATGTGAAAAAGTTTGCTTAAGAAGTAACTTGAAGCTTCCTGCTAAAAAATAATCAGGTTTGCTGCCTCCCTTGGGTCATTTCCACACTGTTTTCATTTTTTCATTTCAAAAGGGGTCTGACCAAATATCGCTTTCCCTGCTGTTGATTTGAATATTGAGGCCCAGCCCAGTAGTATTTTCTTCCAAAGTGCAAAATCCTGGCATTAAAGCATTCCGTGTCTCTATTTTAAGTTCATGTTGTGTTAATTTTTCTGCTCAATAATTTGAGCAGCAGCAACAAGGAAAAGTTGCAAAAGCACCAAGTTCTATCCCTTGTATATATTATATATGATAAATAGAAGATAGAATACTTTATTAGCCAAATGTGATTAGATCCACAAGGAATTTGTTTCCTGTGCAGAAGCTTTCAGTATGCATGCAAAACAGCAAAATAATCATAATCACAAATTAATAATAATCATAATAATGATATCAATAAGAGAAGGTGGTGGAACAGATGAGAAAATAATAATAATATAGCCGTACTACATGAGTAAATATACCTATACATAAGATAGTACTGTGGGAATTAGATGGTTAGCAGAGTGATGGCACAAGGGAAAAAACTCTGTGTCTAGTACTAGGCATGCAATGCCATATAGTGGCTTCCCGAGGAAGGGGTTCAAACAGGATGCGAGGGATCTATAACTATTTTAATATAGGTACTAGAAAGATCTGTGAAGTACAATGATTGGACCATAACAGAAGGAAAACAAGAGCAGGGGACATTCTCATTTTTTCTTAGGATTTCTATTTTCCAGCACAGATGAGAAAAAATAAGGAATAACAAATGTTTTTCTCTTATTGTTTTGAAGAGCTTTCTGCTTTCTTGCTTTCTCCAAAATACATCATAAAGGGAAGCTCTGGAGAAAAAATAAACATGTTCCTGGGCATCCTTCTTGCCAGATGGCCTGGGATACCCTTGTCCTGACAAACTCGAAAAGAGATTCATAGATGTCTGCGTGAGAAATCTACCTGACAATGATTATACAAACGTGCAAATAAGATGTTGTTTAGTTGTCTGTGTTGAATAATAGACATCCAAATGACTAGACTGGAGAGATTTACAACATTCTTTTCTTCTCCAGCTACATCTGGTTGACCTAGTCATCAGTAAGCTAGAAATAATTTACAATAATTTAATAATAGTATGTGTTGTGGCCCAGCAGGAACCGTTGGAGCTACAAACAGATTCCGACAGTGAGGGGCCCTATGAGTCGGCTCTGGAAGATGTGGAAGACCCTGGACAGGGTTCAGACTCTGAGCAGGGACCAGCAAGGCTGGTTGGCCACCAGGAGGGGCCTGAGGCATGGAGCAGCGGTGAAAGCCAAAGGGAGTTGGTCCCTGACATCAGGCCCTGGAGCAGTGGGGA